AATTTTAGATTTTTTTATGAGTTTTTATGTTATTGAAAATTAATGAAATTATAATGTGAAATGTAGTAGTATATTTGTGTATGTTAATAATAATTTAAATGAATTATTTATATAAATAAGTATAGTGTTATAATTGTTTATTGATAATTTTTTTTGTTTATAAATGCAGGATGAGTAAGATTATTATTATTGTATATTGGAATGGAAAAATTGATGTTAGAAATGAAGGTGTGACATTTGAAGGTGGCAAAAAAATGATAAAGATAAAAAGAGGAATAAGTTTTATGAATTTAAAAAAAAAAAAGATTAATGACAAGTTGAATCTTAATAAAAATCATTTCATATCCAGAATAATTTGTCGTTTTATGGTTGATTCAAGTGCTAAACAATATACTGCATTGGATATATGTGATGATGAAGACATTGATTGTATGATTAGTGCGTATCAACAACAAAGTTTTACAACTATTATTGAATTATATGTGGATATTGCATTTGGTGAGAGTTCAAGAGTTAGGTCAAATAGGTTGGACTTAAGCTTATCAATGTCGCCGCCTAACCTTATGGAAATGGGAAATATAAATATTACAGAAGGTATAAATTATATTAAAAATTTAAATTTTTTTATATTTAGTGAGTACACATATTGAATAAGTGTATGTATTTTGAAGGATGTGCAGAATTATACAGTTATGAAGATGAAATCAATAGTGATGATGATCATGATGATGATGATGTTGATGAAGGACATATTCCGTTAGATAGCTCATCGGATACAGATGTAGATGGTGATTTTGATTTAAACTTAAATTTACAATAACAGGATGTTAGAGGTAATATTTATAGAGTATACTGATTAAATTAATTATCTTTTTTAATGATAAATAATATCCGTTTATATATAGTTGTAGGTGAAATACTTTTTTGGAATATAAGTCCACACTACAATTATGTAAATTGGGACCACCCAGACCAAGATATTGAAGGAGAAGAAATTAGTGCTGACAATTCATGGGTTATTGGAGATCCGTTACATGTGGGTTTATTATTTGACTCCAAAGAGGAAGTTAAAACTGCCTTAAAACAACATGCAATGAAAATATACCAGAGTTATTTTGTTGTTGAGTCAAAGCCAACAAAGTTGTATGTGAAGTGTTTAAACTATAACAATGGTTGTCCTTGGAGAATAAGAGCATCATTGCTTAAAAATGCAACAAAGTGGAAAATAACAAGGAGTGGGGGTAAGCATACATGCCTCAACCCAACAATTTCTCAAGATCATACAAAGTTAGATTCAGATTTGATTTGTTCATGCATCATTGGTAAGTTCTGCACAAAAAGTAAATGGGGTTAAGCGTTTTGACAATAAAGGGACTAACCAATTTTGTTTTGTTGTTTTGTACGTATGGTTAATCTTGAATCATCATTGCCTATAAGTTTAATTCAAGAAAGAATGACAAGTCAATTTGGATATAAAATTTCATACAAGAAAGCTTGGAAGGCGAAACAAAAGGCGATAGTACGAATATTTGGTGACTGGGATGAATCATATGGTACATTGCCAAGATGGTTAGAGTACATGCAATTTCATGCTCCAGGGTCTGTTTATAAGATTGAAACGAAGCCTTTTGTTATTGGACATGAGGAGGACAACAGATTTAGAGTATTTGAGCGATTATTTTGGTGTTTTCATCAATGCAAGGAAGCATTCAATTTTTGCAAGCCTATTGTTCAGGTGGATGAAACATTTTTGTATGGTAAGTATCGTCACACACTGTAGATTGCAACGACACAAGATGAGAATAATTGTGTCCTACCACTTTCTTTTGCAATTGTTGAAGGAGAGACTTTGTCACCGTGGGAATGGTTTTTGGCAATCATTCGGGTGCACGTAACAACCAAGACAGGATTATGTTTAATATTTGATAGGCATCAAAGCATCAAAAGTGTTGTTTCAAACCCACATATTGGATGGCAACCTCCTAATGCATATCATGTTTATTTCATATAGCAAGCAATTTCAATCATAGATTCAAGAACATTGAATTGAAGAAGCAGTTGACGAAATTAGGTATAATGTCTCTATTTATTTGGAAGTTGTCCTCTTAACTTATTTTGATTTTAATTGTTTGTCAATGGTGGCTTAATTGTTATTTACAGCATATTTACCTACCAAGATTGTATTCGAAGAGAAGTTGAGAAGATTTCGCAATGAATCACCAGAAATATAGAGGTGGATTGACAACATTTCCAAGGAAAAATGGGCTTTGAGTCATGATGATGATGGATGTCGTCATGGGCACATGACTACGAATTTGTCAAAGGCTGTAAACAAGGTGTTGAAGGGAGCAAGAAACTTACCTATAACTGCTCTTGTCAAATGCACTTACGGACGCTTGGTTGAATATTTTGTAAAGCGTGGAGAGGAGGCTTTGAATGACCTAAACGCTGGTAAGAGGTACTGTTCAAAACTGCTCTAGAAAATGCAGAAAAATCAAGAAGAATCATCATCACATCAAGTGAGATGTTATGATATAGAAAGAACAAGATTTGAAGTTGAAGAGGCATTCAATCCTATCACACAAAGAGGCAGTAACAAATGGATTGTTGTTCTGTGTAGAAAATACTATAAATGTGGGAGATTTCAAGCATATCGATTTTCATGCTCACATGTTATTGCTGCTTGTGCATCAGTAAGTATTGACTTTTGGCAATATGTTGATGATGTTTACTCCATACAAAATGTCGTCAACGCATATTCATCACAGTGGTTCCCCTTGGGAAATGATAGTAATGTGGTTACACGCAGTGAGTGGAAGTTAGTTCCTGATGAGACGAGAATCAGAAGTAAAGGAAGACCAAAATCAACTCGAATTAGGAATGAAATGGATTGGATTGAGTCACAAAGTAGATCAAGATGTAGTCAATGTCATCAAATTGGTCACAATAGACGTCAATGTACTTTGATTTCGCCTAACGAGTAGTATATCGAAGCTTCTCGTATTCACGTCGAATGGTGTATTAGGTTTATTTTCATATGAGATTGTCTGTATTTATTTGGAAGTTAGTTCATTATGTATGTTATTATATTCATTAATATTATGCATTTAAGAACATATATAGTAAATCGAGCAGTATATGCATTTAAACAAAGTACTAAATATCATATCACTAAGAGGTAAAGCGACAAACATTTCGAACAACAGAAATATAACACTAGCATACGTCATGTATACAAGTAGTGGGCGGAAGAAATGTCAAGGCCAATCCTCATGTGGCTCGTGGGGTTGATGTGGTGTTAAGATGCACTCCCTAGGTCGATCTCTGGCTCTACGATATGGGTTACGACGTACCTCTGGATGTGGAACATCTAAGGCTGATTCGAAGTCAGCATTCAAATCAATTCCATGACTATATAGGATATTGTATGAGGATTGACCAGTAACAAAATCTGGATCTGGTGATGGTGGTGATAGTGTAGATGGATGAAATAGAGTCGGAGTGATGAATGATGATGGACATGGGATATAACAGTTTGTGGTGATGGAGGGGTCTGTGGCGGATGTTGGGTGGCCTGAGATGAGTGGAAATATGTAGGTGGCCTCACTGGCTGTAAGTGAAAAGGAAACTGCGATGGAACGTAGAATACTCTATCAGGACGCTCAGGTATGGGAGGAAGAGACCACTCTGTGGCTTGAACCTCAGTGTGTCTACGGTGTAATCCCCTGCCTTCCTTACGGTCGCTAGGTTGATTCACATGTATGACTGGGTCCTCAGTATTGCCACTCTGTACCGGAGGGTCAGATGAAGAAATAGGCTCCATAATACGATTCAAATCATTCTTTAACACTAGCATAGACTCACACAAGTCTCGCATCTCATCAAATGTGAAAGAATCCTGGCCATCAGTCATCAAATAGTGGGCTCTCTCAAGACCATCACCCTACAAGTTAGAAAGGGAATATGTTAAACAACATCATTACGTCTTAAGAACACAAAACTTAAATGAGTGCATATAAGTACGTATGATTACACTTACAAGCAAGAATGAGACAACTGCATCCCTTGTCATCCAACGTCTAGTGTGGGCTCTATACCACTACATATACTCTGAATTCGAACTTAGCTGACCAATCTGGGGGTCATTAGTAATGACCCAAGATCTCCTTCTCTCCCATATGTCTAACACATCCCTAAGCTTCTCTTCCCAATTTTTTGATGCCTTCTCTCGCAAGGTCAAGTCATGTAATGCATCTGGCTGGAATGGGCCACGAGGTATATGTTGAACCATACCAAATTGACGCATAACTCGATCTGGTTGGTGTCACTCACACACCTGAAAACATATCAAAGGCACTATGGCCCTCCACAAGTCTATCCCCTCACGACATATAGGAGGTAACGAATTTATCAAATCAACTGAATATGGTTGCCAAATTATCTATAAATAAGGAACAAATATTAAGGTTAGTTTTCATAAATGATTAACAATTTAAAGTATGACTATAAGTTATAATGAATTAACAAATCAAGGTTTACTTCATCACGATTAAGTATGTCGAATTCATATCTATAATAAGATATGTCCTTCCTCCCTTTCCTATTCCATTAGTTTGCCAACCACATACAAAAATATGATAAACAGTTTAATTACAATAAATATGTTAATAAAAGTTGAACAAGAATTAATTATAATATTACCTGGTAGCATATGGAAGATGGAGTCGTATGTGAGGGGGATTATTAGGAGCTAGAAAGGGAAACCTATCTCATGCCCACATGACAAGTAAAGCAGGTAATCCACCTATCCCATGCCGATCAATATTGGTAGCCATACACATTTCTCTATACAATACGGACAATACTGCAAACCTCCAACTATATTCACCAGTAACAGCAAAATTCTCTAATAAAGGTAAGTACCTCACTGACACTCTACTGCTGGAGTGATCGTTCAGCATAAAACCCTCAATCAACCGCAACATATAAGCCCTAGCAAATCAGGTGATCTGTACAGGATTCTGTGCATGCATCGCCACATGGGTAAAATGCTGGTCTAGCCAACTCGTCTTCAAGAAGCTACCAACAAAATCTACACGTGATGGTCTAATCCCTAGACTCTCCTCAACAATATCAGCATAATTACCTCTAATAGGTGCTATCAAAAGTCTTCCATCAATCCGTAAACCTAACAACACAGATATATCATGCAGAGTGATCGTACACTCACCTTGAGGCAAATGAAAAGTGTGTGTCTCTGTCCTCCATCTCTCTACTAATGCAGTGATCAACGAGAGGTCCAATGGAAATTGACACACGTGAGCAATCCCGGTAAATCCCGCAAGCTCTAAATGTGGAAGGATCTCCTGTGGAACACCATCAAAACCAGCTGGTATAAACTGGCTCTTCCTAACCTTTAAGATAAGATGTTCCCGACCATTCTAAATATGTTCAGACACGTGAATCTTCTGTAAACGCAATAATGAAGGATCATCTGGTCCTGGATGAATGAATTTATTCTGTCCAGAAGATGAAGTCATCTAAAAAAATATTATATATAAATGTGTGTTAGTTTAATTGTTTATATCAAATATAACATGTTCTATAAATTCATAACATAAATCCTAATAAAAAAATGCTCATATATATTTTTTTATATTAGTTATCAATCATTATAAATTATATGATTAATAATTGATTTTAACTAATTTGTATCACTCTAAAAATTTATATTGCATAACTAATATTCTTATTTTATTAACAAAATTTAATTAAAATAACTTAATATTCAAGAAATTTAATAACACTCTAAAATAAATTTTTAATAAATAAATTTATAATTTCATCATAAATAATATTACATAAATAAATTATAATTATTTATTCTAAACTATATAATATGACTCCAATAACTTAAATAACCTAATTAAAGTTATTATTTCATTAAAAATTAAATAATTTAATTAAAATTACTTAATCTCATCTTATTAATATCAATCTAAATTAACAACTCAATAAATATTTTTATAATTTAATCATAAATAATATTACATAATATAATTGTTTATTCTAAACTATTTAATATCACTCCAATAAATTTAATTACATAGCTAAATTTCTTTTTTCCTACCAAAATTAAATTATTTAATTAAAATAACTTAATCTCATCTTATTAGTATCACTTAAAAATCTAAATTCAATATATACATTTATTATTTCATCATAAATAAACTTATACAATTCTAATTATTTATTTTAAATTATCATATATCACTCCAATATTTTTAACCATAAACCATAATTAACCATAATTAAATTTATTTTCTTCTTTTAATTATTTAATGAACTCAAATTTTTGCTACTATAATTTTAATATAAATGTATATGCTTAATTTTAATGCTCTCAAATTTTACCTTTTTTTTGTAATTATCTGTTCATTAATCATAAATCAATCCTTTTATTAAAGTGTATATTCTTAAATGTTATTTAATCTAAAAAACATAATTTATGTTATAATTTTTTTACACTTTTTTCTATTTATCATTTCTTATATAATTAATCAACCATACAACTATTTTATATTTTTCTATTTTTAACTTTATTTTAATATTTATTATTATGTTTAATTATTTTTTACAATTTTTTTAATTTTTTACTTCAAATTATAATTATTCTAATTGCAAACTCTAATTTTTTTTCTTAAAATTACTATTAAAATTTAATAATACAAATTCTGATTATTTTGATATATGTACAAATTTTTAATCTACTATTACTCTAATTTTTAATCTAATATTACTATAATAACCTATTTTAATCAACCTTTTACTATTATTAATAAATATAAAATTTAAAATTTTTAAAGAAATTGAAAAACCTGGATGGGGAGGGGGCAGCGGACGGCGGCAGGGGCAAAGGGTGTGTTTTCTGGCGGCAGTGGGTTCCCAACGACGGCAACAAGGTCACTGCACGGTAACTCTCCGGCAATGAGCTCCTCTTCTCCGTTCAGCCCGTTCTCCCAAGGTCTTCAAAGTTTCAGACAAACAATAACCACAAATCACTCCAAACCTAATCAATCTGGACAGTTTTATGCAATAGAACACGAATCTCACTCAAAACTCACTCTAAAATGATAAAGAAAAATCCCAGCGAAGCTCCAAATCGGTAACAATGGCAGTTTCGAAGAGGAGAAATGCAGAAGAGCAAATGAAGAGGGAGCGTCGGTAACCGTTGCGAGACGACACGTGGCCCAATCAACGTGTTTCGTCTCTGCGTCAGATGAAAAGATGGTTTCGTCTTATGCAGTGACGAAACACGTTGATTGGGTCACGTGTCGTCTGGCGAGAATTTTTATTTCAAATATTTTACCCTTTTTGTCTTGGCATTATATGAAATTACTGTCACGTGTAACACTCCAACTGTTTCATTTTTCTTTAATACGAAATGCTTAAATAAAAAAAAAAAATTAGTTTCGTCTAACTTTTATACGAATTTATACCTGACGTGGCCAAAAAATATCCCAAACAAAGAATTATTTTAATTTTTACATTATTTTAATAATTAATTTTTAAAATTATATTATTTTAGTCTTTAAGCCTGAACATCGTCATAAGCTGGCTTGGACCCTTGACCCACAAAAACAAAACTGACTTGGACCAAAAGTTAATTTTAAAAAATATATTTATTGACCAAAATAATCGAAAAAGTAAACACAGAAAAAGAAAAACCGGAAGGTCCGAATATGACGTTAAGCCATCTATAAGTAAGCACCATTAATTTGTCAGTTTTTCTCATTCCAAAACTGAAAATACTAAGAAAATAAATCCAAGAGATTGAATTTCACACTCAAAATTATGATGAATAAATCCTTGCTTGATAATAACCTATTAAAAAAGTGTTCAATTAAATTATCTATCCCAGTGCACCAAATTTCAGATACTTGTAGCTAGTTACGATTGTATTTTAGTATGGCAATTTAAAATTTCAAACATGGGCTAAATCCCTCTAGATTTATTATCAAAATTTCATATTCTTGAAAAGCGCCATTTTCAGCTAGCGAATAAAAAACAATCTCACTGCATATCGTGAAAAGTGGCAACTGAAGGAAGAACTCCTTGCTACGTTGTATTGAATGACAATTACGATAATAATTATTTCAATTAAAATATTGTTAACTACTTTTAATTTCAAATGATCATAAAAACACTACAAAATGTAACTAACTCGTGATTATTCACAAATATTTATAATTAATACACAGCATATACGATAAGAAGCGTATACAACGTAAAGCCAGTATCGTAACTGTAGCTTTTATAGCAAAGTTCCAGTTTTTTGTCAACTTTGTGGAAAGATGATCTTCACTGGATATGGATACGGTTAAGCTTGACAAACTAACAAAAAAGTGCTAGTTTCTTTACATTTAGCAACATGCACCTGCCATGGTTATGGAAAATTCATTTGCAGCAGACACAATCACTCACTGTTTCTTATAGAATAGGTTTAAAAAGAAAATGTTAAATATATATAGTTTATAGAAGACAACGAAAAGGAGTTGCCACAAAGGTTGTGGAATTCTTCAGTGGAAGTTGACGGTTGTGGAATAAGTTAGTCCCACATTCCAATTGGAAGGAGCAACATTCCATGCAATAATGGTCTCTTTGGTGGTGTAAGAAGTAACCCTGAAAGAAAGAGCTTGGCCTCTTAGAGTTGCAAATGCTTGATATGAAGCCCCCCAATTGTGGCTCATGCTAATCCATCCACTTCTGCTTCCTTTCACAGACATGCTTGAAATATCTCCTCCTCCTCCAACATTCATCACGTACACCAATAGCCAGTACCCATTTCCTTGGAAAGAGAATCGAAGCCCTCCCTTCCTTACACATGGCACTCTGATATAAATTAATCATCACATAATAATACACGTGTAACCAGGGACACATAAGAATATTTATACAAGAAATTTAGGATAACCAATTAATATCAGACTAAATTATATGTGGTTTGAATAATTTCTATCAGGTGATTTAAATCATATTTGTACAGTCTTGTTGTTTGTATTAAACAAAATAATTAATACTGCAAAAAATACTATAAGGTTAAACTTTAAATTTGAGTTCAAATTAAATATAGATCCTAGGCATATTTGATTAAATCCGATACCAACTTAACAAGCAAAATTTTAAAACAATTGAATTATTTTACTCTTATAAAATAAGCAACTTTTTTTATTTTCTTTTTCTTATTTTTTACTCATCAAAATAACACATATTTTTCACTTTATTTATCTGTTTCTCATTATTTCACGTTTCATCCAACATTTCCTAAAAGTAAATCTAAGAAATCGAGTGTTATTCATAGTTTATTAACTACTTTTTCTTGATTATACCTGCGGTACATAACTGGAACTATGCCAGCTTTCCATTGCGCGATTTTCATGAAGGCGGGTTTGGACATGTCAAAATGCACTCGAGGTGGGTTGCACCAGCCACCATCATTGGAAGGTTCGGCCCAATTTGGAGGGCAGAGGTTGGTGGCAGTGACCGTGGTGAAGGGCACATTTTTGTAACATGCACTGGAATGGTAGCATTTTATCTGGTAACATGTCCCGCATGCATAACCATTGTTGAACAACGTCGAGCTTAATGCCGCTGTATCTGTCCCATAACCATTTTGAAACAAATTCCCGTACCCACATGCTCCTCCTTTAAGTCCACCCATTTTCGTAATAAGAACAAAAATTCACGTTAATTAATGCTAACTATATAACATTGGTTCAAATTAAGTAAGATGTTATTCACCAAAAATTAAGTTGCTGATTAATATGATAACACCCCCTTTATTTTATTTCATTTTGGCTGATAAAAATAAAACACTAATGTTGAAATGGCTCGTAAATTAGTGATAAAGGAATTAACATACCCATGGTAGCAGAAGCAGTCTCATCACCATAAAAAGTGGCATGGGCAAGAGCCCACTGACTGGGTCGAAATATTCCTCCAGCTATTGCTCTATCTCCCATGAACATGAACATCGTTGTAAAAGCAAGCAACAAGGTACAAGCTTGAAGAATGGAGGCCATGGTTTAGTTTTGTATAGCTGATAGCTATCTCTTTCTAGAGGAAAGGAATTGTAACGCGATGCTCATTGACAAGTACATGTATGCTTTATATACAAATTACAATTCCTATATAAGAAGTTGCTTCGTGATCCCCACGAAGATATAGCGTCTCTCATATCTCCAAAGTCAACAATTAATTAATATTATTGTTATTTTTGTTTTTTGCCCCGCAGCTATACTGATGATGATGATTATAATATAAACTACTCTTTTGTTTTTAGTTAATGAAACTAAGATGATTGATCCACAGACCAGAATCCGTAGCCAGGGAAGGAAAAAGAAGAACATCAGTGAAAAACGTGCGAACATGTTTCATAGGTTTACGTGATGTATCTCATCCACCGAGCAGCCATAAGAAAATTCATTCTCCTTAGTCATTGTATCGCTTCTTTAAGATTGTTAATTAGTCAATAAAATTTTAAATATGGCTGACTTTCATTTTTAATTTGCCCGTTCTGGTATAACCACTAAATCCACTTTTCGAACTAGCGAAGTCCAATTATGAACTCCCAACCAAGAACAAATAAAATCACCTTTATGTATTCCTTTCTAGTGGTTTAAGAAACACATTTTTGTTGGTTTAATTGCACACGTTTAATCTATTTAGTTTGAATTATGTGTTATTTTAGCTTTTTAGAGTATTTATTTAAATGTTTTATTTTTGAAAGTAAACAAATTTGATCTTACAGTTAATTTAATTTAAGTACAAATTTAATTTTAATTTTTTCTATCAATTTAACCCTTCAAAAAGATAAAATTAATGAAAAATATTTTTTAAGAATAAAAGTGGTATTTTTATTTTTATTTTTTGGAACTGAAAGATTAATCCAGTATCTTCTATGATCAAAATGAAGTTTTCCTCACTAGTTGAGGTTATGAAAAATATCAATCAGATTATCTCACCATAATTGTAAATACATTTTTTACATGAATAAAATTTTTAATGTATTCAACTCTCTTCCCTTTCCTCAAGATTTCATACGACATAACGGAAATGAACTTAAATGATTTTAACTTTTATTCAAAAAATAAAATGGGTAAATAAATATAGCCTTATCCATAATTTGGTATAAGTAGTAAGAAATTATATAATTAAGAATACGTCTTTACCAAGAAAAATATAATTGAGTCTACGTGTATTTATTAAACCTCGCCGTGAAAAAAACAGTATATATAGCTGAAAGAAAGTTAAGTGTTAATTATTTATCTTCTTTTTTATTAAATTATACCCCCAACCAAAAAAAAAAACACCTTGATCAACGGTTTTAAGAATCCTCGCATAACTCATCTCTCCAATGGACGATTCTGCTATACAAAGTTCTTATAATAACAACTTCCTATTAGATATGGTGGTGGCACATAACACATTATTATACATTAGAGATCACACAATAATTTCATAGCCTTTAGGGGATCAATGACCATGCAGTTTCCTGACTTGATAAATTAGTCACTAGCTTCTACCTATGATGATCTCATCTCATTGCTGGTGGTACTAGCATGCGTGTATGTATAAATAAGAATACATAGAATATGTAGATCAGAATGTCCTTACAGATCTTGAACAGATCCCGCGACAGACAAATTATGATGAAGATGCAGGCTCGAGAATATATCTTACAACAGATTTAGCAGCGATCCTAGAAGATTGTACAGGGCATGTAACTCCATTTAAGCATTACTTCCTTCTGGTAATGTAATCAATCTTGTAGTTGAATCATACACCATTTTAGTACCACAGCTGAGGAAAAAATTAACTTTGGATGGTTAAACTAATGATCTATTATAATTCATAAATCATATCAGTTTAATGATGTGTAGGAAAATGAATAATATGGAATGGCAGGGATCGGATAATGCAGGGGTAGTTTTATACTTACCTTTCACATTTGACAGTGTTGGTGGAATCGCCACTTGAAATTGACAGTATAGTTCCAAAGAAAGAGGTATTTTCAGTGCCACAGTTAGGACAGGGACCCTTTAGAGGATACTATGTTAGTATATGAAATGGTTCAATATAAAGGAGATAGTGTTGCCAAAATTATACCTTCAAAATCAAAAAATCTTTTACAATTGCACTTGTAATTGACTGAGCCAGCCACACAATGAGGGGAACAGCGGCAAACCAAGTGAAAATGAAACTAAAAGGCTCTGGAAGCTGCACTCAACAATTCACAACATCTGTTACAATTATTACAGGTATTACCATTTTCAAATTTAGAAGAATTTATTTCTTGTCCATGAGATTAATCAATCTCATTGTACTAGCTTTGGTTTCTGCTCACCCTCAGATCCGATTGCTCATAGGTAAAACTTGATTGGTTAATAGCCAAAATTCAATACCAATGTGGCTTACTTCTTTGGGATTTAGTGTCTGGCCACAAGGTATTTAAAAGGATGAATAGATATCAAGTACTACAACAATATCCAGAATGAAGCACGTTACAATGTACTTAGATTTTATCAAATGGTGATCCACTTTGCATTTCACTCTAGAGAATCTTTTTCTGTTAAGAAGATATAAACAATAAAGATAAACTGCTTCCTGATCCAAAAGGCAACGGCACATAAGAGGGGACTGTAAAAGTGAAACTATTGTCTCACACATAAAGAATCAAACTACATCTAAATAACCAGTTAAGAATGCTAGAATGAAGGGAAAATAAGGAGAGCATACCTTTAGAAGATATGAGATCTCAAATCCAGTTAAATCATCGAGGAAAAAGAACCTAGCAGGGAACAAATGGAAAATACAAAAAGTCATGTGGGTGGTTATATTAAATGGCAGTAGCCGGAATCAAAATTTGCGCTAAATGCACCATGAAGTCATGCACTCTACACACAGAAAGAGAGTTACTCACAATCCTAATGCAATCACAGTTGCTGGAACGTTCAGCAGGAACATCTTTAAATAATCAACAGAAAGGTCACTGTAAACCTGTAAAAGGATGTCAATTGGTAAGGAATAAACATTTAACAAGAAAAGCCACTTCTATGTATGTTTCTATCTAATGTTTCGAGAATGATTATTCAATCCACTAAACAGCTTTACACAAAGATTCATGAATAAGTACAATTGACAACAGTGCAAATACTTTTTCGACTACAACAGTTTATAAGCAAAAACCAATTTGACAAGCAGTTAAGAGGAAAAGAATGGTCTATAATTGTTTAAAAAGTATAAACAGTTTCAAGTTTCAACTGTTAAATTATTTTATTTTATAATTAAAAATAGGTCTAAGCATGAATACTTTTAAGCCAACCAAAAAGAAACTGCATGCCATGCACTTTGAACTTATACAGCAATGGATTAAAATTCAAATAAAGGATTTGTCCAAATTGTGCCTTTTCTACATTTTCGACAGCTTTAGTTTTGCTTGTCCGAAGTACTTTTTTATATATTTTTATTTAACATTTCTAAAATGATTTAACCCATGAATCGGCTACACATAATAAATAATACTTACCTTTCTACTACGAAGACTGCACCTTGGACCCTCAGCCACAATTTCACTCCCTTCCATCTAAAAAATACAAAACATGTAACTAAATTTTCAAAAGTTTGCATTTAATTTAGGATTAGTACACTCTTTTTTCTAATTGATGAAACGTATTTTTATAGAATATTTAAAATGTTAATACTTTTAGTAAAATCTATAATTAATTTATAATTCATTTCCTAATTTCTATAAATGGATAGTTGCTTTGAATCAGGGATAGATCCAATAAATATTTAAGAAAAGGGCTAAAAGAGAATAAGGTTTACTTCATTCCCACATCATATACTTTTCGTTTCTTTTTCTCAATTTACAGTGAGATACTAATAATCAATTCACACCAGTTCATATTTGCACCCCGCCACGATTTAAAAAAAAAATCGTATAAAAATTGCAAACCTTTAGCCTGAGTTTCAATTCATCAAACTCTTTGTCGCTCACGATTGGTTTTCCAGACACATAAGCCATAGACGCTTCCAGAAATTTTTGCTCATCAGAACCTATATACATTGAACAAATAAAGACTCAAAAACAATATACAGTTACAGCTAGGAAGGAATTCATACGTTACTATTCATTACAGCTGCAGTTATACTGTTAGTGAAGTTGTTCCATACTTAGCATCACAACGCTGCTCCCTTCCCACATAAGTTCTTCCTTGAGATTATCAAATTCCTCGTTTGACATAATAGCCTTCCCCTCATAATAGAATGCCTTTTCAACAAAAAACAATTAATTTTCTTAGAATTATAACACATGAATCAAGATAAAGCCAGCAACAAATTAATGGGTGTTAAAAAAGACCTAGTTTTGAGCAATACCTGCAGTGCTTGAAGAAATTCTTGCTCAAGTTCACCAATTGATTTCTTCTCTTTTTTATCTAAGCTACAATAGGGTAAGATCTTACTATCAACAACAGCATCTTTCTCAACATTGCCTGAAAGAGAAGAGCGAGGGGAAACAGTGTGAGACCAATGTATGATATAAAAAGATGGTGTTAATATAAGACAAGACCTTGTTGATCGGTGGTGGCCTTGGGGGAGAACACAAATAACCGGCGGCGAAGGCATAAGTGGCGGCCATTGAATTGAATAAGGAGGATTCTAGAAGCAGAAATGGAGGAGAAGGAAGAGATTGGAATCAAGGGTGTTGGTGTTGGGGCAGTGAATGGACGCGGGTGTGTCAATGTGAAGGCTAATTTGCTTGCCATGATGATTACTAAAAAAACAGTGTGTTGGTGTTGGCGCTGTTAATGTTAATTATTTGTGGCAATTGGAGGGAGAGAAATAAAGAAGAGAGCCACAGATAAGGCAACAACGAACGTGTGGAGGGAAGGGAATTGCAACGGCTCATTCTCCCTTTCTTCTTCGCTTGCTTTCACATCATTTAGTGATCCTATTCCTACTTTGGTACTTTGTTTCGTTTCACGAATGTTTTTGACATGTCTTGTGAACTGCATCGTGTGCCCAAATGGAATCTCCGGTTCGTGGCTACGCGTTCGCGATGGGTTATCACGTGGCAGAGGTGGATCCTACAAAACGCTAAATATATTTATTGAGATAACCTAATCAAACTCTTTCTTAACTAGATTGGTTATAGCTTACTTAACGTCAGTTTTAATTATAGAAGTGTATGCTGTTAGTGAATGTCACACTTCATGTAAGTTTTTTTTTTTATTTAAATGTTACTATTATTAATTTGATTAATCAATAAAAAAATATTTATACAAACTATTCTAAGAGTTTGTCTTAATAAATATTTTGAAGTGATAATAGACTCACCCTTAACTTTATACATAGACTTTTTTAAGGAATTCATCATTCTTATAAGTTATTTTCAACTCATTTTAGAATAATTTAAATAAATTCATTAAACAAATACTTACATAAATAGATATTTAAATATAACATTTTTTTGAATTTATATAATTAACCTTGTCAAATCAGATAAAATTTGAAAACTTAATTATATATATATATATATATATATATATATATATATATATAAGCCATTATAACTATAAGTTGTTCCAAAAACATCCTTAACGACTTCAGACTTTTCCCAATCGGCCTTGAATATTTTGCCTTTTAAGTTTGGGGCTTTCATCATCGAGAGAATCTACTGTAGCTATGAGCTTATGACCCAAACAGAAGCTTTCTTTTGTGGCGAGGATATCCACAAACCACAATCGGCCTTGAATCTTCTTTTTCTTTAAGAACAAAATGGGCTTTAATGATCAAAATAATATAGAATTGTAGCCTTGAACTTATGATCCATACACTTTGATTTGAGAGAAGGAAAATCTCTCGCTCTATATATATTCGATCAAAAACAAATAATAATAAATTTGTGAGAAATATTTGGAGGAGATTAAAGAGAAAAGCAGGTAGTAAATTTTTATTACCGTCTAAGATAGTTGTTTCCTCGTTTATTTTTGTAATTGGAAAAATATTTGATATATTTATACATTTAGGAGGAAGTTAAATTTTTATTTTTTGGAAGGAAAAGAAGGAGAAATATTTATGTTATGAATTTTTATTTAGAACATATTGTGATAGTATATTTTTAAGTTCTATTAGATTTGAAAGTTTTGTATAAATTCTTTTTTTATTATTATCCTTCAAACTCTTTTTTTTTCTCTCTCAAACAAAATTTTATAAAAAAAATGCGGAATGTGATATATATTATAGATTTTTCTTTAAAAATCTGAGAGTTACCAAATAAGTATTACTATTAGTAAGCATCTAAAATCAAAATTGTTGGTAATTTATAGGAATTTTTACTCGTTTTGATTACGTACCTTGGGTGAGAATTTTAAAATTTTAATATTAGATATTTTTGGTAATTTATAAAAGTGACTTTACTCAAAATTATAATTTGTTAAAATAATATGGTTTAATTTTTTATTTTGAAAGTAAAATTAATATATATTTTATTATTTAGGAAGTCAAGTATTTACAAACTTACTCTCCCTTGTTGTTACATTTTAGTATTAAGATTAACTTGCACGTGTGAATTATACTCTCTTTTATTATAATGATTTTACTTTTTATTTATATTTTTTAATTATTTTTTAAAATTTAAAGATTCAAATTGTTACTTAACTTTCTTTTATTATTTTATATAAATTTTTTAACTTTTTATAAATACTTGTTTTTATATTTATAAAAATTTTGTTAATTTTTTAATTTAAAATTTACTTTTTAAAATTTTATATCTTAAATTTATGAATATTAATATATATATATATATATATATAAATTATTGACATGGAATACAATAAAAATATTATTTCAAAATAAATTATATTTTAAATTATTTTTTTATTACATCCTTTTCATTTTGATACATAATATTCATAATTATATAATTGTGTTAAAAATATTTATTTTAACAAAATACTATTTAAAATAATTTTATTGTATCTATACATATATAATTATTTAAAAAATTATAATTTTTTTCTTTAATTATTAGATTGTACATATTTATTTTGAAATAAAATAAATTTTAATTGAATGAAATACTAAAGTAGCTATAATTAAATATAATTTGAAATTCTCGAAGTAATACAACATTATGTTTTTTTGCTTCTCTACTTCTTATCAAACACACGTTTAGAAATGAGCTTAATTTCAGTATATGTTTAGATCTGTCTTACTACGTCAAATTCCCGCGCATACCTTAATATAAACTTGATTTTGTATTATGAAAATCACGCTTGATTGTTTTTAACTGTTTTTTTATTATTTTGCCAGAAGCAAATTAGGCTGAGAAACAACAAACTTTCGTGTTTGATTAATATTTTTTTATTAAAAAACATAAATTACTTTACTTCAAAGTCAATTTTATAGCAAAAAACAATTATATTAAAACTAAGCTAGCCAAAATCTTACAAATTACACTCACTTAAGTGTGCAATTTGCAGCCACTATACGTACTAAAAAAAAAAAGATGCGAAACCGTGTTTGTTGATTGTTATATTTCAATTTATGGTCGATTGGGTATTGAAGACTACAAATATTTTGAAGAGAAACTCGTGTTAGAGATGAATAGTTGGCTCGAAAATTCATGTTGCTAACTGGGATTTATTGGATAGGATTTGTTTATTTGTATATTTTAAAAAATAATTTAAGAAAATCCAATTTTACTTTAATAGTGTAGGTCTTGCTAAGTAGTAATTAAAGATCAAACGATAGAATTTTTTCATAAAATATTATCCGATTATGCATTTATTTTTTTTAATAAATTGTTTAAATTTTTGTAAAGCATACGAAAGAATCTAAATAAAATAACTCAAGTTAATTTCTTCAGCCAATAAATATTTTCCTGTTCACAAGGAAAAAATAAATTTACTTGTATTTCACCCAATAAATAATGTATGCTAATCCATAATATATATAAAAAAGTTATACACTAAATCTGGAAAGAGAGAGGGATGAAAATGAGATTTGATCTAAAGTTTCGTAAAGATGATAATTAGACCTAAAATTAATCCACATTTGCAATAATAATAATAATAATATTGACAAAAAATTATCCGTTAAATAGTTTATATTTAAATACAAGTATTTATTTGTAAAAATTGAAATAAATAATCTGTGTTATATATTGTGATAAAAGTATGAAATAATTGTTTTTATTGGATTAAAATGCAAATAATAAGTTTGAGATATGTATACAAGAATAAACACTAAAACTATTATTTTTATTATTGTTTTAAAAATTAAATCGGTCTAGTTAGTTCTCTGATTTGTTCGATCCAAAAAAATAAATATTCTATTAAAGGATATTTTTATTTAAAATATTATCATAAGATATGATAATGACTTTTGAAACTTTAAACGTCAAATAAACTGTAGTTATCGTCGTTGTTGGGATTATTAACGTCTCTCTCATAATTTTTGATGTGGTGACTTCGTATTATCAAATATCAATGGCAAGAACTCTACGAAGGATGAATGGATGGAATACCAATTTATGTATGTGGCTGATGGTTTTGGTCGTTTGCCTCTCACTTTGCCAACCATTCTCTCATCCAGAATACATAATTATGTCGTTTACTTATCTATTCTATCTCTGTGGATTAATTTTGGTTTTTTTTTTTTTTTTAATAAAAATAGTTTTAGTAACCATCTAAATATAAACATTGGCCTACTTTTAGAAATTTTATTCTAAAAAGAAAAATATCTTAAAAATTAATAAAATTTCTCTCATAAATCACTCATATATTTTTTTAATTCTTTCATTTATTAGAAATAATTTTTAATTTTTATTTTTTAAAAGTTTTTTCATTTACTTTTAACGATAAGAGAAATTTTATTACATTAAATTGGTTCTCTTGCTATAATTTTTCTAGAAGTTCATTCGGTTATTTTTAAGATTTATTTTGTTATTATATTACGTAACTATTTTATATTTTAAACTAAGTTTAATTCCTTTTTAATATTATCTTTTATTTTACTTTTAAACTTAATTTGATTTAGTTTTTCAATGTTAATAAATTATCAAATTTTTTGTTAATAAAAAGGGCTCAAAGCCCAAACAATAGCAAAAACCTAGGTAATACTTTTAGGGTACCAAAACCTTATAGCATCCAATAATAAAAGAGAAAGTAAACTTAAAGGGGCTGAATCCAAAAAATAAGAAGACATCTTGCCATCAGCCCCTGCCTTAGTTAGCCAATCAGCACAATGATTGGCTTTTCTCAAAACATGACTAAATATAATAAAACGAATATGTTTTAACAAATTCTTAAGCTCACTAATTATAAGAAACAAAGAGTGATTACAACTAGGATAATTGACAATAAGAAAAATGGTCTTAGAAGACTCGTATTCAATCCAAATCAACTGAATCTTTTTCTGAACAACCATCTTGAGCCCCCAATATACTCTCCAGAGCTCAGCAGCTATAGGAAGATAGGAATTAATGGCCCTACAAAACCCAGCTAAGAATCTTCCTTTACAGTCCTGTATAAGACTTCCGCAGCCAATTTGGCCAAAAATAGGATATGAAGCTCCATCCACATTAAGCTTTAGATGTGACTGGATAGGGGCATGCCACTTTATCTAGCTTTGGGGATCCATCACACTCCAGATAAAACCTGCCACAAAAAACAAAGGAATCAAACTCATGAAAAATGCTTTGTAACAAACTTCCAGTGAAAGAGGTTGATTCTGGAAAATAGCTTGGTTCCTATTTCTCTATAAATTCCAAAGAGTTATCCCAAACAACACATCTATTATAATCTTGAGAATGCAAATTATAAGAAGCCCAATTTTCAGGAAGAATAAGAGAATTCCAAATTTGATAGACAAACCAGCAATTCTTAAGAATATGAATGACAAATTCTGCATCCTCATTACACCTAAAGTAATCAATAGACCTAGTCATTTCTCTTTTGTATCTTTCCACATTAGTTAACAATCTATTATGAACAATTTTCCAAAGAAACATAGAGATTTTGGGAGGACCTCCTCATTTCTAGATTTTTTTTTACTTTTATACTAAGTTTAATTCCTTTTTAATATTATCTTTTATTTTACTTTTAAACTTAATTTAATTTAGTTTTTCAATGTTTAATAGATTATCAAATTTAATATATGTTTTTAAATAAATTAAATATTAAGATTATTATAATCTTACTCAATCTTAATTTAAATTTAGATTTTAAATTTTGACACATCATCTTATTAAAAATAAAAATAATTTATTTAATTTATAAAATATATTAAATTTTAAAATATTGATTCACTTAAAAGTTTATTTTAATTTAATAATTTAAAAATTCACTAATTTTTTTATAATCCTCGAAATGAAAGGCTTCAGAAAATTACACCAGTTGTATTTTGCCCCTGCCGATAACTTCAATATCAATTGACTTATCGGTGCCAGTTCTCCCCTCACGCGTCACATTTTAAGGAGACTTAATTTCCTACGGTAGGCTGTTTGAATATCAGATGCCTTTCTCTTGAAATATATATAGTGAGAGTGAAATAATTAATGTTACGTTATTTTTTAAACTTTTGTAAGTAATTTATAAAAACGATAATCCGTCTTCCTACAGATGTGCACACACACCTTATTCATTATAAATAATAAAACAAACAAAATTTGCCAAAGAAAAAATTAAACATATTTTTTAAAAATATCTTTCATATACTTATTTTGAAAAAAAAAATTAACTATACTTTTAGTCTTTTTAGTTTGTACTAGGTATGATTTTCATATTTCAATTTTTTTAGGTAGTTAATTTTTTCTATTTTTAAATTATATAAATTTGGTCACTCTATCAATTTTTTTAATTTAAAATTATTTTTTTAGCTTTTAGCCAAATTTTTAGAGGTTTATAATAGAATTAGAACTTGAAATAATTTTAAAGTTTTAAATTAATAATAATATTAAAAATTTAATAAAATTTCAAGAATTTATGTGAGATTAGACTTTAAAGAGGATAAATTTTGAGATATTTATTTAAGTTAAAATTCAAAACATTATTAATATAAAAATATTTACAATATTAATTAATGAAAAATCACCATATGTAAAGCTTTTAAAGCAATTGTTATAGAAGTCTATAATTTTTAATGATATGATAATAATTATTAGATAATAGTGTAAAACATATTTGAATTGTCAAAAAAAATTTATAATTTTTTTTTATTTTCAATACAATTTGACATTTTAGTTTATGAAATTTGATTAAAAAAAATTAATCTATATGATTTGTAAAGATTGTACGTAAAAAAAATTAGTGATTTTAAATTAAAAAAAAATGAAAAAAGATCAAATTTACTAAATTTTTAAAATACAAATTTAAGTAGCTCAAATAAAATTTAAAACTCAAATCACCCATAGTTCAAATTCAAATAACAAAAACTATAATCAAACTTTCTTAATATAAATTGTAAGTTACACGTAATTCGCTCGTAAATTTGAGTGTTAAACAAATGCACTTATAATTCTGAATAATTTTCTCGTTGGCAATGAATTATTTATAGGTTAATATTTGTGAAATTGCTGAACGTGAAATTTATTTGGTCCAAACAAGTCCACAGGTGCTATAAATAAGGGAAGTGTTTTTCTGAAAAAAAAAGGGACCACAAAATAATGTCTTATTTGATTATTTAGTGCATTTTGCAGACATAGATGCATATAAAAAATGAAACTAGTTTGTTTAATATAATATCAGATACAGTAAATCGATAACGTTGGGGCAACGAGCCACACGATTCATTAGCAACAAATATACGAATCGCTAAATGTCACGGAAAAATTTACGATGCCTTTCGTGTGCTTTCCTCTTTACGCATTGTTTGAGGGGAAACTTGATTAAGGTTGGTAGAACTTGAAAGTTGGGGAAAGATTAAGCGGAAAAGAAAATTGAGACGGTTAGGCAGGGTTGTGTGCCGATCACGTGCTTTAACCTCCGGTCAACCCTAACCATTAACGGCAATTTTTTTAGAACATTTCACATGGTTGATTGTCTGGTTGAGAAGTTGGCCACGTGACCACCGGTACGGTGATTATCATTAGTTGTTACTACGGACATTGACAATTTGACATCACGTAGAATTATAGAATTCGACCAAGTATTATATATACCTTACTAACTCGAATTAGGCTTTTCAGAGTTGAAAGTGAAGTGACACTGGATACCAAGATACAAAGGCAACAACATAGAAAAGAAAATTTTAAGTAAACCTATATTTTTATGGGGACGGTGGCACCAAGAGTTGAAAGCTTGGCAAGTAGTGGGATTCGATCCATCCCTCGAGAATATGTGAGGCCGAAAGAAGAGTTGACGAGCATAGGGAACGTGTTCGAAGAAGAGAAGAAGGAAGGGCCTCAAGTTCCTACAATTGACTTGAGAGAAATAGACAGTGAAGATGAGTGTGTTAGAGCGAAATGCCGAGAGAAGCTGAAGAAAGCAGCACAAGAGTGGGGTGTGATGCATTTGGTAAACCATGGGATCCCTGATGAACTCATAAACCGTTTGAAGAAAGCTGGAGAAGGCTTCTTCTCTCTCCCAGTTGAGGAAAAGGAGAAGTACGCGAATGATCAAGCTTCTGGGAAGATTCAAGGGTATGGAAGCAAACTAGCCAATTCTGCTAGTGGCCAATTGGAGTGGGAAGATTATTACTTCCATCTTGTTTTCCCTGAGGACAAGCGTGACTTGTCCATATGGCCAAAGAAACCTGCTGATTATACGTGAGTCACTCCATGCTTCTCTTCTCTTCTCTCTTCTACTTTCCCATTTCATTCATTCATATTTTAAATAACTATAAACTCTCTTACCCTTTATTCCTACCAATCATCCTAATTATTAAATGAAAAAAGTATTTGATATATTTTATATTTTAACGTGATACTAAATGAACCTTTTTATTTAATATTTAATTTATAAAATAATAAAAATATTATTCGAGGACATAATAAAACTCTTTTATCTTTTGATTCCATATAGTAACTATCAATACCATTCCAGTGTACGTGAGATCAATTCTTTCATTGAATATGGTTAGGTATTGAAAGCAAAAACCTATTCCAACGTTAGTTTTTTCCTCGTGATCACATGCTTAAGGAATTAATTCCCTTTTTCTCGATTGTCTTTATTTGAAAGTACAAACTATGTTTATGAAATAAATGGTATTAATTGTTTCTTAAACTATTTTATAAGTCTTTATATAGTTTTATTAAAATGATCAAATAGATATATATAATTTTAAAATTTCTAATGGATTATCTATATTTTCAGAGGTTGATTTTTTATTTTTGGTTTTTAAAATTTACCATTCAATTTTAGTTTTGGTATCTAAATTTTAAAAGATTGATTCTAATATTTATTATCACTAGACTAAATATAAGTCTTGATAGTTATCTCTTCAATGATACATGCCAGCGCATGCCTTTGCTGCAGGTACTTACTTGGGACAAACACCTAAAATAATAAATTTATAAAGACCAAAAATTAAATTAAAATTGAGATATACATAAATTGTAAAAAAATAATGTTTACAATTTTAAAAAAATATGCACTTCGATTTTGATTTATATTTTTAAAGTATATATATTTTTTGTTCTTATAGTTTTTTAAAAGTTTTGCGCTATCATTAGCAAAATATGTCACCGCATGTAGCTTTTAAGAGACATACATCAAGATCAATGCCTAATTAATTAAATGAATCAAAATCTAAAAGAGTAAAAATATAGGGATTAAATTTTAAATAAAATGAAATTAAAGGGGTTAAAAGCTAAAGGAATTAAAATGATAATGACTAAGAAATAAACTTTTAAAGTATAAGAATTAAAATAAAAATTTATAGGAAAAAAATTAATCCGCTTTTAAATAACTCCTTAGTTAATGCTGAAGGTAAAATATGCTTAATTAGTGAATGTTTAGGTAAATTATTTTATTTAACCGGTATAAGTTTTTGAATCTTAATTATAAAATTTTACACAATCAATAAGAATTTAATTGAATTAATAATTTTTTTTAAAAAAATCTTTAAATCATAATAAGAACTTATTTAACAAAAACATAATAAATTATAGGTAGTAATTGAAACCTAATTGGAACTATTGCTTCATGTATGCAAGCAGTGAGGTCACAAGCGAGTATGCTAAAAAACTAAGAGGGCTTGCAAGCAAGATACTGGAAGTGCTATCTCTTGGATTGGGGTTGGAAGGAGGGAGATTGGAGAAGGAAGTTGGTGGAATGGAAGAACTTTTACTGCAGTTGAAGATCAACTATTACCCGATTTGTCCCCAGCCAGAATTGGCTCTTGGAGTTGAAGCCCACACCGATGTAAGTTCACTCACTTTCCTTCTTCATAATATGGTGCCAGGTTTGCAGCTTTTCTACGATGGCAAATGGGTCACAGCAAAATGTGTCCCCGATTCCATTCTCATGCACATTGGTGACACCATTGAGATCCTTAGCAATGGCGAGTACAAGAGTATTCTGCATAGGGGTCTGGTGAACAAGGAAAAGGTTAGAATATCATGGGCAGTGTTCTGTGAACCCCCCAAGGAAAAGATCATCCTGAAGCCACTTCCTGAGCTTGTTACTGAAACAGAACCAGCACGCTTTCCCCCTCGCACTTTTGCTCAGCATATTCAGCACAAACTATTCAGGATGACTCAGGAAGGTCTTCCAGAGTGATCATCATTCAATTGCATACGCATGTGTAATCCATCGTGTTTGTATCGTATGCTTCTGTCACCAATAATTCTCAAGTGTTGCACCAATAATATAGGCCATATATGTGCCCCGAATTTGCTTTAGTTGAGTTTTTGGCTTCCTTTATTAAATAATACTTATATATTCGAATTTTCATATTTGATTAACTTTTTTTTGCTTATGATTATCCAAATTAAGTTTAAATTTTCTTTTGAGCTTGTTTTGTAAATTAAACGTTGTTGATGGAATTTAATATATTCGATTAACATGTATTAGCATATATTTTTCTAATAAAAAGTAAATTATTAATATATATATATATATTGATAATATTATTATTTATTTGACCTCCATTATTTTTTTAATATTCTTTTGCTTGATTACAATCTTTAATTATTTTAAATTTTTAATGTGGTAACTCTAGAGAAAAATAAAATATTTTTGTGATAATAAAGAAATTAATCATATTATTTATTAACTCGAGACACATTTCATTATTGATGTAGAGATTAAGTTCATTCAAATTGTTTGAAGTCCTAAATAATTAATCACGTTACATCGTTAAAAAGTTATAATATTAGTTTGTTTCGACAAAACAAAAGTTACAAATTGAGTGTAGTTCACACAAATTTATTGAAAAATTCTAACACAACGTACCAAATTTCAGTCAGTATATTTTGAAGTTTTTTTTTTTTTTTAAATGTGTACAATATAATATATTGTTAAAATTTTAAATGAAAAATTTAATTTTAATTATATTAAGAACCAACATATCATAATTATTTAAAATGTATTAAATATTCATGTTTATAGTTAAAAGTAAACAAAATTAAAAAAATTACTTTTTATTTGAGTCGATTTTAAATAAATTTTATATTTTTTTAAATTTTCTCTATCATATTAAAAAAAGGATAAAAATATCTTACATTATACATACATAAATAATTAAAATTCATTTAATTTATTTTTTTATTGACAAAAATATTGTACGGTGCATATAATTTTAATTTAATCCTAATAATATATTCTACATATAAAAATGAGACTGAAAATGTTGTTAATAACTGTATTTTTATTAAATATTCATCAGTAAAAAAATAAAAAAATGAAAATATATTAAAGTTTCTTATTAATTTACAAAAAAATAAATATTATTATAATTGTTCCCCTTTATCGCTAAATACTAATATGTGCATATATATATATATATATATATATATATATATATATATTACTATATAAGTTTGGTAATTAATTTTTTTTTTCTAGTAGGGGATGAAAGTTTCATTCAAAATTTTAAAAGGAATGACTTAAAAATAATTTTATATAAACAGTCAATAGTTAATAATTTATAATAAAATATTTTTAATTTTAATATTATATTTATTACACATTATAGAGGCGTTCAAAAAATTTAATTTTATAAATCCAATTCATAACTAATGTTAAATTGATTTCAACAACACATGATGAAACTAATTTAATAATAATAATAATAATTTTGTTTTAAAAAATATAATTTTTATTTTAATTAAACTTAATGCATTTATTATATAAAAGTAAATATAATTAAATTTGTAAATTTATGATTAGTTAATATTTTAATTAATTAAAGAGTTTATTTTTTCCTGTAAAAATTTTTACATACTATTTTTATTAATTATTATAAAAATATAAAAATTATATGACAATCGATGATAACGTTTTTTTTTTATATTATCAATGTATTTAAACTAAATTTTTAATTAAAAACATAAAATATAAAAATAGTAATACATTACTATCTTTGATTTTATTTATAAATAGTAATAACTATTTTTATTCAAAATATAAGAAAAAAATTTAAAAACATTAGTTATTAATTTTTATATTTTTATTTATTGTAAAATTTGTCATACTAAAATTCTCACTATTTATTTATATAAATAAATGAATTAATATAAATAATTTTTTATTAATTTAGATAAATTAAGTAATTTTTTTATGTGCAATGAAGTATTTATTTTTATAACTAGACAAAAAGATGTATTTATTTTTATAAATAGGTTATTTAACTGAATAATTTAAGAAGATATAGTTAAAAAAAAAAAAAAAAAGGCAAGAGGGAAAATAGATAACAGTAAACACTTGCAGGAAAGAAAAGCCAAGAAAATAAAAGGAAAGAAGCAGAGTAGAGAGCATGGGCATTAGCCATTAGCGATAAGGATAGAAGAGGGCGAATCGAAAGTGATAACGCGCGCGCCAACTAGGGCTCCGACACCGCACTTCACCCTATCACAGTACTCATACTTCTACAGTTCTAATTCGAATCGTAATCTGTGTAGCGCGTGCGTCTTTTTCTCTCCTTCTCGGATAATGGAATGGTTGTGTTTGTGTTGAATCATGATTTAGTGCCAATGCTTTCACTTCAAATGTTATTAGCTTTGCAAGCGTTTCTCTCTTTGTTCGCTATGCTATGTCAATGTTACCTTCGATTCTCACACTTGTAACCAGTGCGTTACACTGTTCAAATGTTTTAGGTTCATCTGCCACTATCATGCTCTATTGATAATGGTTAGGACTCAGGGATATGTTACTCATCTCTGCTTCCATTTTTATAATTGATAATGCTGTGATGTATTTTAATACCCACAAATGATTATGGTTTATGAATACTGAACAGATGTGTGGATGTAAGGAACACATAGGTTATCTGTTTTTTTTATTTTTAAAACAAGATACTAAGTCCCTGTAAGTCCGAGAAAACAATTGTGTATCAAAATTGGTGTTGCACTCCATGTTTTCTGCGCGGTTGATTCTACGGTTCTCTTCGGTTTGGGTGGCTGTGATATCTATTATGCTCACTGATTTAAAATTTCTTGACAGGTCAATTGGGATTGGGATGTCTTCTGATAGTGCAAAGGAAAGTGCTTCAGTGGTTGATTCATCAGTGACTGAATGTAGACATGACATTGGAAATTTAGATGACCCAGGTTGTGATAATGTTCGTTCACTTGTCATTTACATGTCATGTGAGTGAATGAACTTGCATGGTGGGGATAAGAAAGGGAAATAATTCTTTGACACTCCAAGAGTGGGTGGAAGATGAGAGCGATAGGAAGAAAATTAAGAAGAAGAAGAGAGGTGAAGTAAAAGATGTGATATAAAATAAAGAGAGATAGAAAGAAGGGAAAGATGGAGAATGGATATGATAGAAAGTGAGTGTGAAATTAAGATTTGGGGTAAGAAATGGAATGAGAAAATCATTAATTTAAAACCACAGTACATTCCATATAAGATAAAATGCGTATAACAAAATGACGGACAAAAGATAGAGGTGAAGTTACAATTTTCTAATAAAAATCAAATATGCTTGGTCGTGTGTGTAAAGAGGGGTAATGCATCCCACTCCCTTTTACTGTTTAACTCTACTTCCGAATGTGAATCACCTTGTCAGTCCATCATATCTCACAGATCCAAACATACCCCGAATTAGCAAAATTTACTTGCAGTTTCGGTGTGTCCAGAGGATCACTGACTTCAACGGTAAGGAATGAAATAGGGAGTTTATCATATCCTCAAAATCATTTCATAGATGCATGTGCATCTCTATTTATATAAACATGCATGTGCGTTCTTTTCCTTTCATTTTTCTTTTGCATTAATATTTGATTTTTTTTCTCTCTTTTGATCTCTGATTTATGTCTAATCCTTTGTTAGAGAGCTCAAGTTGCAAGTTTAAGGAAGACATTAATTCAACTAAAGCAGAGAGAGTGGGACATTCTCATGGTCAGATAGTTCATCCGACTGAAATTGGAGTGGAAAAATTGCACAATATAAAATATTTTATCATTAAGAGTTTGAACTATCAAAATCTACGTTTGTCTATTGAGAAAGGAATTTGGGCTACACAAATCATGAATGAACCAATTCTGGAAGAAGCTTTTCATGTAAGACACCTCTTCTGATCTTAAATTATATTGTTGAAATTGTTATTTACTTCAGAATCTGTCAAGATTTAGGGAATGAAATTATCCTAAGATAAAAACAACTTTGATAATTATTTGCTTATATTACAGAATTCAGGCACTGTAATCCTTATATTTAGTGTCAACATGAGCGGTTCCTTCCAAGGGTATGCACAAATGATGTCCGCCATTGGATGGAGGAGGGACAATGTTTGGAGTGAGGGGAGTGGTAAAAGTAATCCTTGGGGTCGCAGTTTTAAGGTCAAATGGCTGTGTTTGAATGATTTGCCTTTCCACAAGACTCTACATCTCAAGAATCCATTGAATGACTATAAACCTGTCAAAATTAGCAGAGATTGCCAGGTTCCCTTTTATTTTTCCCTCTTGCACCTTTTGAAAATTAAGCATGTATTATGTGACTCTGAGTTAAGTGCCCTTTCTAGGAATTATCTCCAGATATTGGCCTAGCTCTTTGCGAACTCCTTGATGATAAGCATGTTACAGACGGCCTGCTAAGCAGGTAAATCTTGTAGAGAGGTGATAGATATTGTGTTTTGGCTGCATTTAAAGAGGCTCACTGCTTATTGGTTTTTGTATGTGCAGTTCATCGAGGGATGATTTTTCTTTGAAGGAGCATTATGCAAATACGCCAGGTTCAATGGGAGATGAAGACTCTAATTTTCCTCCACTGCATTTGTCATGGTCAATGCCCCTGCCTTATTCTTCCTTGTTTTATCAGAATCAACCTGAAGCAAATAGATTTCATTCAACAAACCAAAGATTCAGGGGGAAAATGTTCACTGAAATATTGCCTCTCTCTTCGGAGTCATCACAAGTGTCATCAGGGATTAAACGTTCTCATTTTAGTGAGCGCATTCCAAAGCTACAAGTGATCAAGGATGAGGCTTCTCAATTTGATTTTCGGGCTCTGTCTTCAGGAAGCCCTTTAGCTAGTACCCTAACCGAGGATGATTTTCTTGACATGGTACTGGGAATTTATCTTTCATCATCTAATCAATTATTTTTTTGCCCGTTTTATTTCAAATTATTGTTTAGTTGTCTCTAAGAAACTTATTTAGGGAATGACTTGCGATCACATGGACTTGGCAAAGTCAAAGCCAAGTCATTATACAAGCCAAGTCAAAGCCAACGCAAAAGAGATTCCATACTATGACTTGCATAGCCTTAACCCAGACTCCTTTGAAGGAACTCTTACTAATGTTTACCCTCATTATACAAGCTTATATGCATTTTGGTGTCTTAAAATTTTGTTAAATTGGATATTCGGGAAGTGAGAAGTTTCAACTTTGCAGTTTTAATTTTGTATAGTATCAGACTATAGAACCATTTTACGTTGAGTTCCTTAAAATACTCCCTGCCCTGTTCCTAGATCCCAAAGAAGACATGGAAGCCTGCTATCTTTACTGGATATTGAGTTCCTCTCTAGATTTAGGTCATGGAGCTGTTGATGAAAATTTGTTGCATGAAGCTACCCAGGGACAGGGTTTTTTGTTGTTGAATTCTGCACACTTGTATAATTGGTATATCTGTATTGGTTTCACGTGCATGTTTTTCTGCTAACTTTGTGTGTGTTTTGGCTGCAGTCCTATGAAGAATACCTGGAGGTCCATAGCAGATGCAGTAAACAGTTACGCATCAGTGTCAGTATGCAGATCAATATTATTTCACTATTCTCGTGTTTTTATCTAGACATGTTTGATGTATCTTTCACAATTGCACTAAGCCATAACCAAGCCATCAAAATTCTTTCAGGCAAGTAAACCATCTCAGAAACAACTGGAATCGTTGAGAGGTAATTCGACAGGTGAAGATCTTTCCTGGTGCTGTATTCCAAATCATAAGTTGTCAATTTAGTGATTCCGGAGCTGGGATTCATTTTGCAGGAACCTAGACAGTGTTGATAGAGAAAAGAGCAACTCCCGTGGGAAGATGCATTAGTCTTTGCCATGGATATTATAGCTCCTCCAACATCCTCACATGGTAACTTTTCGTTTACTAAATTTTGGACTTGAGTGTTGTCATCCGTATGGACGCCCTTTTCCAAAAGCAACTACGTAATGGAAGTTAATTGCAATTTATCTAAAATTAGGACTTGATATTATACCTCATTAATGTGATTCATTTCCAAGGTTAATTTGAGGCTGATTTACCAATTGTACAAAATTTAGATTTGTATTGCCCAAAATACGCCTTGTGTGTATATAATATATATTTCTCCAGTGCCCTCTGGAAAATTGTCAGTTAAGATGCTTATATTGGTTTAATAAGTGAGAAACTCAGATGTCTTCAATTTTATTAATTTTCTTGTTTAGACGATATTGAAATTTGCACATTATATTGAATCTCGTATGCGCGGCGGGCTGCCATTTGTAGAACATGAAGAAACATGCACAGGTTTTATCTAAATTTGAAATATTAGAAATTTAGATACCGGTAAGAACATCATAAGTTCAAAGTAGTTCCGATTTATCTAAATTTGAAATATTAGAAATTTCAACAGATATTTTCTCAACACTTGCTTTTATAGGATAAAATGAATAAGCTACAACATTTGCAAGTGTATCATTAATTTTCAATATTTTTTAAGTTTCTTCTGACATGTAAAATTTTAGCCATATCATTTTTAGACAAAAAAAAAAAAACTTATTTTAAAAAATAAAAAATAATTAATATTTAAATTTATGAAAAATTGTAATTAATATACTAAAAGTTAAAAAAAAAATGCTCAACCAAAAAATATATATAGCAATAAAAAATATACTAAGAACTAAAATTTTGTGAATCAAATCAAAATTATATAACAATTATGGATATATAAAAAGTATTTTAAAACTACAAAACTGAAAAATTACATTATTATGTCATCAGTTTATGTAATAAAACAAATTGAAAAATTTTAGTGTTTAAAAGTATTTGGTATGTAATATCAAAATTATTGATTGACTGACATAAAAGTGCAATATTTTTTTACGCAAAAATTAATATTTGTTCAACCTTATTATTCTAAAGTATCGTTTCTATATCAAATTATCATTTTTATTGTCAACGACACAGAGGATACTTGTATTTTAATTATTAAAAAAATAACTCATGGGACGATCATCACAATTATGCAACAACAAAGCGGGCTACATGAGCAATTTTCCGGTGATTAACAGGACACAAAGAATGCAACATACTCTAACTTGAAACATCGAACCTTGAACATGAGGAGCAGCGAAGGTGGACCATAAAGAAGCGCATTCATCAGCTCCACTATAATGAGGAAAAACCATGTCAATTTCGTCCCTCCTCTTAAAAAACTCTCCCCTTCTTCCCGCCATCTTCCATTGCAAGAAAAATTGCTACTCCCTCCCCTCTGCCTGCTATCTTCCGCACATTCATTGTCTCTCGTAACTAACAAGGAATGAAACTCTCCTTGCTCTTTTATGGAATTATTTCTTTTAATAATAAAAAAATAAATAATATTATGGACTATACTTATTATTTTATTATTAAAAAAATAAATATTATTCTTCTAAAAAACAATACTTAAAGTAATGGTAAAAATTACTCTAAATAAAAATATATTTTATTATATATTTTTTTGATACTTTTTTAATAATACCCTATTTTGACAAAAACTCTTAATAGTATAATATTCTATAATTATAGAAAAATAAATTTAATTTTGTAATTATTGATGCAGATAAACAAGAGGCTAAATAAAGATGAAAAGAACAGAGTTTAATTAGAGATGAGAAGTAGTCAAGTTACAAACTTGAGAAACATAAAAGTTATAAAACATAGAAATTCATAATTTTAGAATACAAGTTGAGAATTAAAAAAGATCAATGCTAGTTATTTTTTAATTTCATAGAATTGTCATATGAAATTATGATTCTAACTTTTAAAAGACTACCAAACATAACATTTAAAATTAATAAATCCAATTGTAATATTCTAAGCATTAATTTTATATCCAATTCTATGCGTCAAACGGAAAACGGGCAATTATAGTCTTTTTCTAAGTAGGAATTCTTTATTATCTTTTATGAAACTGTAAGAGGCAAAAGTTTGTAAACATTTGGAGTTCTTGGTATATTACTACTTGGGAGTCTTTCTGCACATTTGAAATTTATTGGGCTTGCTTTGATTTGTGTATTTATTTTTAAATTATTGACTAAAGTATAAAAGGCTAAAGAATAATATTAGTATTATATTGTTTTAGTACACATTCATTTATTGGATAAAATTTAATGTGGATTTCACTAAGTAATAAAGGTTATTCTTTAAAAGGGTGAACCTAAGATCATTTAATACTAGTATTATATATTTTTAATACAATTCATACAAAACTATGAATGAAATTTAAAACAATATATGGAGGCAGGAGATAAAAGTGATTCTTTATTAAAGAACTTTCAAGCAAGAATGCAACGTACTTAGGATAAGTTGTCGTTAACGAAGTTTTCAGAGGAACATTGATACCGATTCTTTCACACGGACTCGGATCGGCTATATTTTTAGCAGAAATTGTAGGCTGCAGTTTTGCGTTTGCTTAAGCAAAATTTTTTCGCTTATGTGAATTTTGGTAAAAAGTAATTTTGTCTTAAGTTAAAAAAATTTGCTTAAGCCAGAAATATTTGCTTAAGCGAAAGCAAAAATACACTGTAGCATCTTCTTCTTTCTGCGTATTTTCGCTTAAGCGAATCTGGATTAGCTTAAGTAAAAATATGCAGGAAGAAGAAGAAGATAATTCCTTCTCTCCGTTACTTCGGCTCCCTCTCTTTTCCTCTCCTTCCAATCCAGCCACCCTCTTCCTCCCTCCCTCTCACTCAGTCCCTTTCTTTCCTCCCCTTCCCCGTCTCTTCTTCCTTCAGCCCACCCAGTCTCTTTCTCCCTCTCTCCTCATCTAACTCTCCTCTCCTCCTTTCCCCTTCACCCCATTCATCCCCTTCCCCTTCTCTCCTCATCTAATCCTTTTTCCTTCCCTCTATTAGCCTTCTCCCGCTCTCCCTCTCCCTTGTGCTCTTACCCCTATCTCTGATCTCCCTCTTAGCATTTCTTTCTCTCTTCTTCTTCTAGTTTTTTGGCCACTCTTTTTAAATTCGCTTAAACAAATTTTTTTGACTTAAGTAAAATTGGCTTAAGCGAATTCTTTTTAGCTTAAGCTAAAATCACTTTTTACCAAAATTCGCTTAAACAAACGCAAAATTGCAGCCTGTAGTTCTTGCCAGAATTGCAAGTGATCCGAGTCCCTTGCACACACATATGCAAGAGTAAGATTATATCTGCAAAATCTAAATTCTTCGACTGCCCAAGAAAAGAAATACTAGGGTAACTTAAAAATTAAATTGGTGTTTAGAGGATGTGTATGAAAAGAATTATCCGAATAATATTATTTAGTTTTTGATAGTGACTACCATATATAATGTATGGCCTTATACCCAATATTATTTGTTTTCTTATATCGCTTTGACCCATCGTAGCCTTCGTAAATGTATTTTCCAGCTAATAAAGAACGTAAATTAAGAATGGCAATAAATATGTTAACGTATATTTAATAGAAGTATTTTATTGAGTTATACTTTTAATATATTTTAACAAATTTATAGTTGTAGCTTGTTAATGGCTTTTTTATTTAAATAATGTAGATTTTAAAAAACTCTTTATTTATTATAATTTTTAAACTATTTTTTTATCTGAGTAAATGTCGCTATGTGACACATATTTGCTAATACGGACTTGCAAAATTTTAAGATTTTTCAAATTAATTTTTGTTACAAATTGTCACGTATTTTTTTTACAATTTTCTCATAGGTTTAACTAAATTAAATGAAGTTTTGTTACGAAAACATTCTAATAATGCACATGGCACTATCTAGTGAGTTTCGCTATGAAAGTGACGCAATTTGTGAAGAATTGACACATGATACGAGTTTAGCGCTGAATGTATAAATAATATGACAAAACTTGTATACCTTTGGTCCAATATGTTATGCTATATATATATATATATGTGTGTGTATATATATATATATATATATATATATATATATTTTATGAGATATACCTTTCATTTAATTCAATTTGAAGAATAATTTTTTAGAGGGTTGTTAGGTTAGTTTTATTTAATTTATTTTATAATTTATTACTAATTTAATTTAAAAGTATGAAATTAGTTATTATTAATTTATTTTTAATTAAATAATATGATTAACTAGTGAATGATTATTATTTTTTATATTTTAATTTTAAATAAAATAATAAAGTACTAAATAATTATTATTTGTAAAAATGTAAGATGAGTGAAATTGTTATTATTATTATATATTAGAATGGTAGAATTTATGAAGGAAATGAAAGTGTAAGTTTTGAAGCAAATAAGAAAGTGATTCATATAAAATGAGGAATAAGTTGTGAAGCTTTAAAAAGAAAATTTTATTTGAAACTTAATCTTGGTCATAATTAAGTTATTTCTAGATTAATTTCACATTTTTTGATTGATGAAAATGTTAGACAGTATACAACTTTGGATATATGTGATGATGAATATATTGATTACATGATAAGCGCATATCAACATTAAGTTAGTAGAACTGTTATTGAATATGTAGATGTCGTTATTAGTGGAAGTTCATTGGTTTTGTAGCAGATAGTAGATTTAAATTTATTACTTTCATTGCAGAATGATTTAGCACTTGTGAATTTTGATTACTACAAAGGTAAAGTTGAAATTTAGAAATTTTTTTATTAATATATTTATTTGTTAGAATTAAAAGTTATGAATTTGTTGCAATAAATGAATTTGAAATGATGTTGATGAATAATATGAAGACTCAGATTATGATAGTTATAGTAATGAGGATGATAAAGGAGAAATTTCGTTAGACACTTCTTCTTCAACTGATGTTGAGGGCCAATTTGATTCCAACTTAAATATATAACAAGAAGAAATAGCAGAAGATATTGTGAAATAATGTTTAAAATTTGTTATTTTTAATTAATTATTTAGTAATAATGAGAACAATTTTTACAAAATGTAATGCAAGAGAGACTGTAATTCCTTTTTAGAAAGTAACCCCACAGTATAAGTATATTAATTGAAAATATCCTGATTAAGCGATGAATTAAGAACATTTTAGAGAAGTCAATTCATGGGTTGAAGGAAATCCTTTATTCGTTGGCTTGTTATTTGATGCTAAAGAAGATGTGAAAAATGCATTAAAACATTATGCAATGAAAATTCATCAGAGTTATTTTGTTGTTGAGTTTAAATTAATATGTTTGTATGTGAAATGCTTAAATCATAGCTCTAGTTGTCCATGGAGAGTAAGAGTTTCATTGTTGAAGAATTTAAACAAGTGGAAAGTTACTAAGTGAGGCGGTTTGCGTACATGTGTCAATCTTAAAATTTCTCAAGATCATCAAAAGTTAGATTCAGATTTAAGTTGTTTATGCATTTTGACTAAGACAAATCTTTAATATATTTTAATAATTTTATGATTTATTATGTATATATAGTTACATTTTTATGACTAAATTGTTTTAATTTTATATAGGCATGGTGAATGAAGAATTGTCCATACATATTTTATTGATACAAGAGAGAATAAATGCTCGAATACAAAATTTTATATAAAAAAGCTTAGAAGGCAAAGCAAAAAGTCATTGTTAGAGTTTTTGGTGACTGAGATGAATCATACACTATCTTGTCACATTAGTTGGAATACATGCAATTACATACTTCTTGATCTATTTGTAAAATTAAAATGAAAGAGTATGTAGTTGGTCATCAAGTGGATAACAGGTTTAGAGTATTTGAATGATTGTTTTGGTCATTCAAACAATGTCACAAAGCTTTTAAATTCTGTAAACCTACATTACAAGTAGATGAGATGTTCTTATATGGTAAGTATTTGTTGATAATACGACTGTTGGAATGGTCAAATAAAATTGCATATCCAATTTTTATGCTATTTGTTATTTAAAATAAAAGTCATGTTGACTATTAGGATAAATTTGTTTTAGTCTTTTCTTTTAGGAATGATTTGTTAATAGTTTAATCTATCAACAAATTCTATTTTAGATTTGTTTTATATATAATTGCTCTACATCTGAATAAAATATGCCTTTTGAAGTTACATTTCTCGATTTGTCTTCTTTCACCCTTTACATCGTACAAATAAAAACAATAGTATCATCACACATTGCTCATTGCAACAACTCAAGATGAAAATATTTGTATCCTTTTAGTAGCTTTTGTAATTGTTAAAGGATAAATTTTGTTAGCATGAGAATGATTTTTGGCAATGATTCATCTACATGTTACTGATAAATCAAAAATTTGTTCGATATCAGATTGCCATCAAAGTATAAAAGGGGCAGTGTTAAATCCACATATTGGGTGACAACCTCCAAATACGTATCATGTATATTGCATTCTCATATTGCTAGCATACCCATAACTGCATTTGTAAAAGTCACGTATGGATGTTTGGTTGAATATTTTGTAAAATGGGAAGAAAAGACTATGTCTAACCTTAACAATGGAAGCATGTTTTGTCCTAAAGGAATGATGCAAATTCAAAAAAATCAATACAAAGCTTTGTCATACCAAGTGTATCAATATGACATACAAGGGACAAGTTTTGAGATTGAAGAAATGTTTAATCCAATAACACAAAGGAGTGGTCACAAATGGACAATCATATTGTCTAAGAGATTTTGTGAATATGGAAGATTTCAAGC